CTCTTTTCAAAAAGTATTTTATATCAATTTGACGGATGAATCTATAAAAAATAATTTATTTTCATGGTTATTAACCGAACCGAACCGAGTCGAACCGAACCAATTTACGTGATTATGGTGCGGTTATGGTATGACAAAAAATTTGACGGTTCGGTGATGATTTTGGCTGAACCGAATCGAAACCGAACCTTTGCCATCTCTAAATCCCCATAACCATTGAATAAATATCTCGGTTGCATATCGTACTGAGAAGAATAGACATTCTGCTTATTTTGCAAATCTTGGTACACTTCCGCATATGATGTACTCTCTGTTACGGGAATTGCAATACAATCACATACATCACTCGTCAATCTCCATTCCCATATATTATTTTCATTCACTTCGAAATCACCAAAATAACAGACCAGGATTATCATATCTGTATGATGATATAGAATTTTTAAATTAATTACAACAACAAAAATTCAGATATTTAATCAACTTGTAATTAAATTATAAGACAATTGTTAAAATATAAATTAATAATAAAAAAAATTTGTAAAACAGTCGGGAAAAACAGCTGACTGTGGATTGTTTTACAGCCGACAGTCGGCTATTAATCAGAAACGATCGACTAACAATCAGCTGTTCGACAGCCGACTATCTAACTGCCGTCGGTCGGCTGTTAGACAATCCTTTGACAGTTGGCTGTCTGGTGCCTAACAGTTTTCGTTAACATCCCACAGTTAATTGTCGAACTGTTTATTTTATGTATGACTTTTTATTTTTCTATGGTTCTAAAGAAAAAAATTATAGATCTGTTAAAAAAAAAAATTCTACTTACTACTGTGTTATTTAACTACTCAAACGTACACTAATTTACTGAAATCGAAATTAAGTATGTGTAAAAATATACTTACCGATTTGAAGTAATTGATCTGAAAAATTTTTGGTTTCGGCGTTTGAAGTTTTTTGATATTTTGAGGTTCAAGCAGATGAAAAATGAGAGTTTTTATGTATTTGAAGCTCGTTTTGCAATTTTATAAGTGGGGAAGTGTTTGGTTTTCAATTATTAACTTAAAGGGTAATAATATCTTTTAAACTATCCAATATTTTGTAATTATATAATATATTTAAGGACATCTCTATCTTTTACCATTTAAGAGGTTAATGTGATAATTTTCAAGTTTTTAAAAGTCAAAATGAAAATAAGGAACTTTGACTAGGTCAATTTTAAAAGTACCCCAAAAAAATGTCTATTTCCATTGTGGTTTTGTTGATCATATGATAAATTCAGTACTGTTATTAATTTCATGGCTAACTTAGCCCATGTTTGGCGCTTTATAGTTTAAACCATATTTTATTCACATATTTTTTGGGATCTACAAATATTCATTTCTATCTACTTATGATTCAAATTGATTATAAATAAAATAACTTCGATAGCATGCACTTACTAATGTTTCAACATCAAGTTCGTGTGCCAACAGTTAGCTATAATTACGTCTCTTTTCTTCAATATTGTCCAATTTAGCAAATGTGACATACATGTTAGGTACATTGAAATATTTAAATTTTCAGCATTATATGCCAGAATTATAGGCATGTTTGTTACACTCAAAAAAATTAAAATGTCAATTTAGTTTTTCTTCAATATTATCGTCCAAAAATTTAATTAATAAAATTTCATAAATGACACAAGGCAAACCTTTCTCCCTAAAAAAAAAAAAGAAAAAAAAAAGAAAAGAAATTTCCCCCAAAAAAAAAAAAAAAAAAAAAAAAAAAAAAAAGAAAAAAAAAACCTATGAATTTGTAGTTTGTCAGTACATTTTTGCTTACAAGTTTTCTCTATTGCAAAACTCAAGTTAATCAACATCATCTTTCGATCTCATCGTGAAGCGCACTCCTTGTGTACATGAGACAAATATTTTTCATATTAAGATTGTCTGATTCAAAACAAGTATGCCACGTAATAAAACCCAAGTTACACGTGGCAATATGCCATGCAGGTGTCTCTTCTTCTTCCTTTATATCTTCAAAGCTGCAGAAGAAATTTCATAGAATCCTAGTATATTTTGTTCTTAAGAAACCAGCCTTGTGAAAAACGGAGGTGATCATGGCGGCAAAGGAGGAGGAGCAAAAGTTTCCACCGCAAAAGCAGGAGGAACAGCCGGGGAAACAGCATATTATGGACCCAATTCCAAAAGCTCTAAATCCTGACTACAGACCAGCCAATAAGCTCCATGTATATTCATTCAAACTTTGGATCCTTTGTCCTCAACTTGTTCTTTCGTTGACAGTATTTGAATAATGCAGGGAAAGGTGGCTCTGGTGACTGGAGGTGATTCTGGGATTGGAAGGGCTATTTGCTATTGCTTTGCCCTAGAGGGTGCAACTGTAGCCTTCACATATGTAAAAGGTGAAGAAGAAAAGGATGCACACGACACTTTAAAGAAGATTCAAGAACTGAAAGGACCTGATGCAAAAGACCCTATTGCTTTGCCTGCTGATATAGGGTTTGATGAAAACTGCAAAATGGTAGTGGATGAAGTTGTGAACAACTATGGAGGTCTTGATATTCTGGTTAACAATGCAGCTGAACAACATTTGAGCAACAATATTGAAGAGATCACTGAGGACCGGCTCTCGAGTATTTTCAGAACGAATATATTCTCACACTTTTTCATGGTTAGGTAAGAACAAGGTAGTTTTCCCAAATTTATGTTCATTTTTAGGTATGCATATATCCATTTGATGGAATAGATTTGTTTGGACTGGTAATTTATGTGTGTATCTTTGTGTAGGCATGCTCTTAAGCATATGAAAGAAGGAAGCAGCATAATCAACTCTACATCAGTGGAAGCTTATTGTGGATCTCCAATGGTGCTCGACTACGGTTCAACTAACGGAGCAATTTTGGCCTTTACCAGAGCTCTAGCCCTCCATTTGGCGAACAAGGGAATTCGGGTAAATGCCGTGGCCGCAGGTCCGGTATGGACCCCGTTGCAGGTTGCGTCTCTGCCCGAAGAATTGATCGCAAAACTCGGTTCTGAGACACCGATGGGCAGGGCAGCACAACCTTATGAGATCGCGTCATCATATGTTTTCCTAGCGTCGCCCGAATCTTCCTACTACACTGGCCAAGTTCTCCACCCTAATGGTATGTATTGTTGAACC